TTGGAAATGGCCTCTGAAAATTCTACACCAAGTCCCTGTAGTGACAGCTCTTTCCTGGGACTCCATCTTCCCCTCTGAGAAGGCTGGCATGGAGGTCCTCTGACCTTAAGGGTCCACAGAAAGAGAGAGAGAGAGAGAGAGAGAGAGAGAGAGAGAGGGTGAGAGAGAGAGAGAGAGAGGAAATACAAACACAATAGAATTCACAAAGAACTGTCCTTAGACTAATCGACTGCCTCAGTGATCATACTCTGCCTTCTCTTGTCACTTGTGAAAAACTTTGACCCTGAAATCACACCCTTATTTGTACTTGGGAATTTTTCAGCTACTTTAAGAGTTCAAAATAATTCATTGATATTAGTTCCGAATTCATGGGATCCTCTCTGACATATCATTTCTTCATTTATCCAGGCTTCACCCATTCAAGAAGCATCTCCTGCCTCATCTCTATCTCTTGAAGCCAACCCCATCAGCCTTCTGCTCCCGTTACTCCATTAAACAAGCCATGAAGTCTCAGTGGCTTCCATGATGTTGATTCCGATGGTTTGTTTTCAGACCACATCTCACCCCCTCGGTAGCCTCTTAGCACAGATGATTGGTGCCTTCTTATTGACACTTGCTGTCTTCCTTCCTTCTTGTTCTTAGTCTCTTGCTGGTCTCTTTCTGATCTCTGAATGTTGGAAGTCACCCTGGGCTTGCACCTCTGTCACTGCCCAGTCAGTCCATTGCTATAAATACCACACCCTGGAGGCTGGGATATGGCTAAGGGTAGAACTTGCAAAGGGTTCATGAGACCTTGGGTTTCTTTCCTAGCACCACAAAAATAATAGACAAATACCATCTCTGTCACCCTGACCTGTCTTCTGAAGAGGACTTCTTTCCCCAGGGGTGCTCAAGTTTGGCCTGGGCCCTGAAGGAAGAGAGATGAGTTGGCCAAGAGGAGAAAGTAGAGTTTTTATTCCCCCTAAGGGGAAGAGGATGAGAAAAGAGGACTGGGTTGTGGCTTAGTGGAAAAGCACTTGCCTTGTATGTGTGAGGCACTGGGTTCAATCCTCAGTGCCACATAAAAATAAATAAAATAAAGGTATTATGTCCATCTACAACTAAAAAAATTTTTTTTAAAAAAGGCTCAGTTGGTAGAGTGCTTGCCACACCTGTGCAAGGCCCTGGGTTCAATCCCCAGCACTGCAAAATAAATAAATAAATAGGCTCAAAGGCGTGAACAGAGAAAATGTCCAGAGAACAGGAAGCGGTCTGGTGCAGGTTGGAGATGATTGATAAGTAGGTTCTAGGTATGTTTCAAGAACTTTGATGAACAGCTAAGGAATATGGACTTTACACAGAAGACAAGAAGTAATTCTTAGAGGTCCTTAAAGAAGGGAGAGACATAAGTATTTATGTTTCAAAAATAAAAATATGAATTTTGGCAGCAAGATGGAGGCTGAACTAGATTAAGGAGAGAACGTGGCCAGGAAGGTCAATTACGAACCCACTGAAACAGTCTATAAGGAAGGGATTAAGGTCTCTATGGCAACAGTGGAATAAAAAGTAGTAAATAGCCAGGTGAGGGGCACACAGCCATAATCCCAGCTACTTCGGAGGCCAATGCAGGAGGATTGCAAGTTTGAACCAGCCAGAACACCATATCAAGACCCTATCTTCAAATTTTCGGGACAGGGATTGAACTCAGGGCACTTAACCACCAAGCCACATCCCCAGTCCTATTTTGTATTCTATTTAGAGAAAGGGTCTCACTGAGTTGCTTAGCGCCTTGCTTTTGCTGAGGCTGGCTTTGAACTCACGATCCTCCTGCCCCAGCTTCCCAAGCTGCTAGGATTACAGGTATATGCCACAGCTCCTGGCTTAAAAAAAAAAAAAATTTATAAAGGGGTGGAGGATGGGGAAAGAACTAGTGATGTAGCTCAGTGGGAAAACAGCCCAGGGTTCAATACCATGTATTGAAAAAAGAAAAGAAAAAAACGTAGTGACAAAATCAGGGGGGATTTAGAAACAGCATCAAATACACCATGATTGATTAGGTGTAAGTCTGGCAGTACGGGAGACAGGCCAAGGTTAAAGTTTAGTTACATTCAACACAGGGAGACCAGGTGCAGAGGGGATGATTAGTAGCATTTTAAGTTTGAAGCAATTGCAGGGTGTCCAGTATGAATGGATGACAGGTCTGCAGATGAGGAGAGAGGTTGGACTGACTGCACAGATTCAGATAAGCCTTCATAATAGATAGGATGTCCAGGGGAAGACAAACCACGAACCCAGAATGAAAGCATGCAGGCAGCTGTCAGGAGAGAAGAAACAGAGGTTGAGGTAGGACTAGAAACGAACCTGCAGAGAGGTGGCACAGGAGTGGGACAGAGTAAGGTCTGTCAATAGAGGGAGAAGCCACCTTCTGAGAGGTAATGATGGGCCAGGATGAAAGGACAAGGAGGTTCTGTAATTAGAAGATGAGACAAACAGCTAGAAGTTGGTCTGCAAGGGGCCTAGCTAAGCCTCTTTTTTGAAGTGTGGCTGGGGGCCAGTCCAGGTAGCGGCAGAAGAAGGTGGAGCAGGGCCAGGTGTAGGGATGGGAGTTTTAAGTACAGCAGGTGGCTGGCCATCCAGCTTCTGTCCACAAGACAACCTCCGAGTGTTTGCACAGCCAAGCATTCTATTTGGTTCAGCCTATATTCATTGAGCACCTGCTGTGTCTAAAGTAGCAGACCAGCATTGCAACGCTCAAAAAGACATCCCAGGTGCAGTCATGTTTTAGCTTTTCATTTATCAGCCTAAACTTGCCTTCTTCTGACCACAGCTCTCTGTCCTCTGGAGCTGTACCTGATGCAACAAGAGTTTCTTTCAAACAGCAGTCCTTTTGCTAACTGAAGATTCCTCTCCCCTGCCCCCTTGGGGATTTCCCACTTGTTTCAGTTTTGCAAAATAATCTGGTCTTTTCACATGTGTATGTTTGTTGGTAGGTAGGTATTTTATTATCAGCTGGCTGCTTCTCTCCAAGTATCCATAGCTGATCTCTTTTAAAGTGTTGCACTCATCTAGGCATGGTGAAAAACACCTGTAATCCCAGTGACTTTCAAGGCTGAGGCAGGAGGATCTCAAGTTCAAAGCCAACCTCAGCATTTAGCAAGGCCCCAAACAACTTAGTGATATCCTGTCTCTAAATAAAATATAGAAAAGGGCTGAGAGTGTGACTCAGTGGTTAAGCACCCCTGGGGTTCAATCTCTGGTACCAAAAAAAAAAAGTTGCATTCAAAGTTAATTGCAATTGTCCTCATCTAGTAAAGCAGTGTACAAACCAATAGGAGCATCCTTTCCCTTGTTCAGGACATGGTCTCTGTGGTCCCACTACCTGAGATTGTAGATTGTATATATGTCCTGAGGCCATACTGCTGCCTCCAGGTGTTTCACAATCAATATCCTGACATCTTTTGGACGTGAAAGTTTTACAAACTAGGTCTCCCAAATCTTACACTTTTAAAAGTCAATTGCAGGATTTAACATTTTTTCCTTACTAAGTATTATGTTTTTACATTGATTTTTATTAGCTAAGTAGTAAAAACAACAAGGGTTAACCAGGTATGGTGGCACATGCCTGTAATCCCAGCAGCTCAGGAGGCTGAGGCAGTAGGATCATGAGTTCAAAGCCAGCCTCAGCAACAGCAAAGTGCTAAGCAATTAAGCGAGACCCTGTCTCTAAGTAAATACAAAATAGGGCTGGGGATGTGCCCCTGAGTTCAATACCTGGTATCCCCCTGCACCCTCCCACCTCCACCCCACCCCCTGCAAAAAAAGAGCAAGGGCTTAGGAGTCAGGCATTCTACATTCAAATTTTGCTTTTGTTAGGTAGCCCACTGACTTTGAATGTGTCATGTGATCTCTGAGTCTCAATGAGCTTAACACTGAGAAGAGAGCTAATCCTGTCCACATTGCAAAGTGGTTTTGAGGCTGAAACAAGCAGGGTAGAATATCTACTGAGTGCTCAGTATATTTTGGTTTTCTTGCTTTCCTTGGATTCTCTCAGCTTTGTGTTCTTAGTAGATGCATGCCTTGCTACTCAAGATTAAAAACAAAACAAAACAAAAAAAACTTTCTTTTAATAAAAAGAAAAGCCAGGCACAGTAGCACATGCCTATAATCCCAGTGACCCTGGAGGCTGAGGCAGGAGGATAGTAAGTTCAAAGCCAGCCTCAGCAACTTAGCTAGACCCTAAGCAACTTAGCAAGACCCTGTCTTAAAACTAAAAAATAAAAAGGGTTAGGGATGTGGCTCAGTGGGAAAATGCCCCTGGGTTCAATGCTTGTTAAAATGAATAAATTAATAAAATAAAATAAAATGTTGACTATAATAGAAGCCAAGGACCAAAAGAAAATACTTTGGCATGACGGTTAAGCAAATGGTTCTGCACCCAGATTTTCTGTGATTGGATCCCAGCTGCTCTACTTACTAGCTATGTACTCAGAAATGAATTTATAAACCACTCCGAGCCTTGTCCTACTCATCTGTAAAATGAGGATATCAATACCTGCTTCTCAGATGTTAGGGATGATTAACAAAGGTGATGACAGAAAGCACCTCTGCCCGGAACCTTCAATCCAATATGTATCAGTGAGTGGTATTATTATTATTACCACTTAGAAACCTCCATGTAATCATTTCATCTACTAAATATACTGTATAATATTGTCCCATTATATTGTCCACCAGGATCCCTAGAAAATCTCTACAAGGTCAGGTACGACAAATATGCCTCTACTCTTTGGACATAGGAACCTTATCTACAAAACAAAACAAAACCAAAAAACCAAACAAACCAGGTTTAGGATTTTGGGCAAATCACTTAACATCTCTGACCTGTGGCTTCTGCATAATGGGAATAATAATGATGCCTATTCTGGTCTGGAAGGGGACCTCATGATTTGAATATGGAGATAAGGAAATGAGGGTAATTTGCAGGTATTTAACTTAAGTGAACCCGTGCTGGTGCTTACTTGTACGGGTTTTCTTTCCCCAAGCATCCTAAACTTATCAGTGAATAGGTTCTAGAATTCACTTTTCCCCTTTTAAAAACTGGCATAATTGCCTAACCTCAGGCATATGTACTTCTCTCTTCAGTGATTCTTCACAATGTGTCTATGATCATATCTGGAAGTATTTTTTGTATCCCTAGATGTAGTTTATATAGATCTGAAAATTTGAATTCATTTAAATTTGAATCTTATCTAAATTTAAATTTTATTTAAATTTACACTGCCATCATTCACCTTGGGATCCCATTTCATCTTAAATTTTTCTTCTCTCTCTCTCTCTCTTTCCTCCTTATCATTTTTCTTTTTGCAGTACTGGGGATTAGGCAAGTGCTGTACCACTGAGTTATACCCCCAGTCCCTTAAACTTTTTCTTTATTCTGACCAGAAGAATATGTATGTCTGCTGAGATAGATTTAGAATATACATAAGTCATGAAGAAGAAAATAAAATCAATTTGAATTCACTACCAAGATATAACTACTGTTGCTGGTGCAGTGGCAAACACCTGTAATCTCAGTGGCTGGGGAGGCTGAGGCAGGAGGATCACAAGTTCAAAGCCAGACTCAGCAAAAATGAGGTGCTAAGCAACTTAGTGAGACCCTGTCTCTAAATAAAATACAAAATAGGGGTGGGGATATGGCTCACTGGTCAAGTGCCCCTGAGTTCAATCTCCAGTAGCCCTTCCCACCAAACCCAAAAAAGATATAACCACTGTTAATATTTTACTAGTCTTTTTTCCTGAGAAAATATATTTAAAATAAATGATCAACATTTTCTGATGCCATGACATCTTCCCAAACCCACTTTTTTTGTATACATACATTGGAATATACCAATATTATGCAATAATTCTTTTTGACATTTAGATGTCCAAATACTCAATTTTAATAAAGAATGCTGTACTAGCCAGGCTAATCCCAGGAATTTGAAAGGCTGAAGCAGGAAGATTGTCCGTTTAAGATCAGCCTCAGCAATTTAGTGAGATTCTGTCTCAAAAATTTAAAAGTAAATAAATAAAATAAAATAAAAAGGTCTGAGGATGTAGTTCAATGGTAGAGTGT